CAGGACCAGGACTGGACCCTCTAGAGCTGGGCGGTGCGCTGATCTGTACCGGTCCTGCGTGCCCATCGAGTGCGCGAGTGCGGCGTACTGACCCTCCCTCAGCAGCTCGTCGGCGGTGCTCACGCCGTTCTCGATCAGCTTCTGGCAGTCGTCCAGCGGCCGCACGCTCTCCTGCTCGATGGCGTCCACCTCGCGCAGCAGCTCGGCCAGCCGCTCGCCCAGCAGCCGGCTCACTGACCCCTGCAGCTCCTGGAAGTGCTGCCTCAGCACCTCCCGGGTCTGCGTGGCGCTGCCCCGGATCTGGAACAGGCAGAACCGCAGCGGGTCAAGGGGCGGGGGTGGCAGTGGGGAACAAGCTGCCCAGCCACATCGGACCTACCAGCCCGGCTTCTCTCAAGCCAGGACGGGAGGCATTACTGTACATAAAGAGCGGTGGGAGTGTGGAACAAGCTGCCCAGCTACGTCAGATCTAACAGCCATTTCTGTAGCTGGGTACTTGTGATTGCAGGGCCTTGCTCAAGGGCACAACAGCAATGTTCCCCCTGGGATTCGAACCCACAACCTGAGACTGGGCTCTCCAGAACATTAATTTCCCAGGTAAACACAAATCTTTCAGGCCCGGATTGGAATAAAAGGGGAAAAAACCAAACACGTGAAACTACAGTTTTAAATCTAAGCTGTGAACTCTGAGGTCTGCGCGCTGCTGTGGAGGAAACGCAGATGCCAGCTGCAGGTGCCCACACACACCCAGGCAGTAACATCTCAAAGTGTCAAGGACCTATCAAACAGGAAGCTGTCTGGCTCTCAGGAAGCGAGAGGCCTGACTCCTCCCCAGGAAGCGGTGTTTCTCAGAACGCGACACGTCTTCTCTTCGCTGGCGGCCTGGACACCGGACTGAGAGGTGCCGCGGTGACCCGCCCACTCCTGGCGGTGCCATTTTGTCTGCTGACATCGGGGCTTGTGGGCAGAACCGAGCGAAGGACTGGATGAAGATCACACTCAGTGTCCCCCTCAACCACCTCCCCAAAGAAAAAGTCCAAACTTTTGAACTGATAGGAATCAGGAGGTAAATAAAACCACCAAATATCTGATTCAGTCCCCAGACAGCAGTGCTTCAGACACTGATGTGGAGGCTAATGTCACTGTTCCTGTAATTATCTTACACTTCAGCGAGAACATAAGAGCTTCCTCATTTCCCCTGCGTCGGCAGAGCAAGAGTGACCTCACTCTGCGCTCTATTTCAGGAGCAGTGCGCCGACAGTGCCGCAGGGCCCCGCCAGGGAGATACTGACGGACACAGCGCTGCGGGAGCAGGCAGGACAGCTGTGTTATTACAGGGCCTTATCACACTTGCAGGGCTCTCAGCAGACAGGGAGAGACAGAGCCCCCCTCTGCAGGAAACTGAAACCCACATGAGACACAGAGAGCAGACGGGCATGGAACCGAGGAACAGGCGAGACACGAGGATTTGATTCAAGTGCAATAAAAGCCCATAACTGAGGACAACACGACGCTCTTCACAGTACCCCATCGCAACGTGCTGGAATATCTGACAGCTTTCTGGGTGGGAAGAGAAACGATTTAGCTGGGAGCAGCCGGCCTGCGGGTGGTGGTCACTCTGGAAGCCCCCCTGTGGGGAATGTTTGGATCCGCTAGACCGACCCTTTCAAGATCCAGAAACGTTTTCCTGACTGCGGACTCCGCTGACGTGATCGAGGCCCGAGCTCCTCGGCAGTCCGCTCGGAAATGTGGGAATGGCTCCGGGCCCCCTGCCGCGACAGCCGCGGAGCTGCGACTCGGGGCGCCCCCTGCACCCTGCCTCACCTGCGGCCGCTGCTCGAGAGGCTGCGAGTGCAGCACTGCGTCTTAAAGGACAGGGCGGCGCTCAAGCGCGGAGCGATGCAGCCAGCACGTGGCCAGCCCGCAAAGACAGCAGCGGGGTTGAGGGAAGAGCCGGACTGTTTCTTATTCGCCAGACTCCCATCTGGTGTCCCTTAAGAGGAGCAGGAAATAACAGTATTGTTTACAGCGGGCTGGTGGAGCGGGAGGAAGCTCGCGGGGATGATTAGGGGGATGGGAGGGGCATCCTCGCGCGCGGCTCCCACTCTGGCTCAGGCCTGCACCGCTGGGGACAGGCAGTCCCGGGACGGGTGGGGCGGCTCCGCGGGCCCGCACGCTCCCAGCCCCTCGCCGCTCGGCCTTCATCTCTCTGCACTGGGGGAAAATCCCAGCCTCTCCGCCTGCACAGTGCACCCCAGTATTCTGCTCCAGGCAGCCCTAAGTCTCGAATTGACGAGCGTTTGTGAAGAATCGTGAACCGTAAACCACTCTCACTCACGCCCCCGAGTTCTGCTCCCCATCATAATTCGAAACAAAAACGGGAACCCATAAAAAATTTTGAAAACCTCTGTCAAACCTCTCAATGTCTTTTACTGAGAGTGAGAACATCAAGTTCCTCTTTTTCAGACTCCTTAAGGCCAGTTATTAATCTTGCGGCCCATGTGTGGACATATATAGTATCTACATCTCTTTATAGGCTCTTAGCTATGCATTAATGCGTTCTCAGACAGTGGATCCTCTGTCACACCTGTTCTTACCTCTTCCTGTTACACCTGTTCTCTTAGCTCTTCCTCTCACACCTGTTTCTCTCACACCTGTTCTTGCCTGTTTGCATGCCTGTTCTTGC